CGCCACGTTCTTTCAATTTAATTTCGAAGAACGCGGCGGCAGTCTAGGTGCAGTGGAAGATTTTTCGGAAAAAAAGACCTCTAGTCAAGATACACCCTAAGTGACTTCATTAATCCTTGTTTCTTACTTTTCAACTGTAGGTCAGGACCATTCATACAGAAAATTCCTGAAACCTGATAAATGACTGCAAAGACATTAACTGCCAAGCTGCCAAAGCTGTCATTCAGACCACACAACAACATTCCCTGGATTTGTGCAGCAAATAGAAATGGACAATATATGCCCAGTTGCCAGTCTCGAGTATGTTTATGACAAATTTCACTGTAACAAAAACCTTGTTACAATGAACTGAACCCATGTTTAAATTATGTTAATTATCCAAAGGCTGTAGTGAAATGCCCTTTCTTTGGCAACAATTGTATTTGTTGGGACAGAAGTGAGACTGCTGGAATCAGTTTATTGTTCTGTAATGTGGGGGTAAAGCTCTTTAAATGACATTTGATAGTTAAAGGGGTGGGAAAATCTCTGGCTCTGGAAAAGTAATTTTATGATAAAGATTGCAAGCACTCTGGATTAGGAGAGTAAAGGTTTTTAGACGAGTGCCCAAATGAAAGTAAGCTTATTGAAACATATTTACTATTGCTTACTCTGATAGAGGCTTTTGTAACAGAAATTAAAGTTTAAAAGAGATAAGAGGACGTTCAATCCAAGGGGAAAGAAAGTGGGTGCACCCTGGTGTGCAGCTCTGGCAAGAGCTGGCTGAGCTGCAGCAAAAGACAGCAGAGAGCTATTTAAAGAACTGGCACGGACCCAGGTTGCAGTAGACAGTACCTGTAAGAATTGGTTAAAGTTTCACCACTGATTCAGTATTAAAAAAAGAAGTTATTTTAAGATGGAAATGAATCTTTACTGGTCTCTAAGGGTGTGTCTAGACTACGTCCCTCTTCCGAAAGAGGAATGCATGAGGGAAATTGAAAATGCAAATGAAGCGCTGATTTATAAATCTCACGCTTCATTTTCATAATCTCATCCGATTGTTTTTTTCGGAAGAGATTTAAAAAAAAAAAAAAAGCAGTCTAGATGGGGTTCATTCAAATCCCCCCTTTTTTGAAAGAACCCTTATTCCTGAAAATATGAGATTTAGAGGGTCCTTTCGAAAAAGGGTTATTTTTTTAAAAAGAACCCCATCTAGACTTTTTTTTTCAGAAAAAAAAATCTGTTATTTACTATTAGTAAATAACCAGTACAGGCAGTCCCCGGGTTACGTACAAGATAGGGACTGTAGGGACTGGCGTCCAGATTCAGCCGCTGCTGAAACTGACCAGCGACTGACTACAGGAAGGTGTCCCCGAGAAAAGCCTAGTCTGCTGGGTGGGGGGGGGGCACACTAGCTGCCCCCCCCCCCCCCAGCAGACCAGGGATGTGCATTGGAACTATATTGTAGCAGTTAATGAGAACATGGGTGGTCTGTATAGAAATCCCAGCTATTTCTTTTGTTTTTATAGCATCAGGAATTATTTACAGGCAGTCCCCGGGTTACACAGATCTGACTTATGTCAGATCCGTACTTACGAACAGGGCTTTTCTCGGCCCGGAGGACGCAGGCGGCGGGACCGCGGCGCGTCTGGGCGGTCCTGCCGCCCACCTCCTCCGGGGCGAGAAAAGCCCCGTTCGTAAGTATGGATCCAACATAAGTCGGATCCGCGTAACCCGGGGACTGCCTGTAAATGTATAGAGATTAGAACTTAGTCACAATTAAGCTTCCCCCTTTGATCCTTTAAATGAAATGAACTGGTGAATTTAATCTCCAAATTTGGCTCAATAAATTTTCAGAGGACCTACCTCACTCATCACCAGATCTTCTCAGCACAGAGCTAAATGTAATGTACCTGGTGAAGACACACTATGTTGATGGGAACATGCTCTCCTGTTGACATAATTAATCCACCTCAGTGGGAGACAGAAACTACTATGTTGGTGGGAGCCACTCTGCAGCTGACCATGGGAGCCGACAGCGTTGTTGGGCTCCTAGGCAATGTGGGAGAGGGGCAGTTTCATGCTCCTGGTAGAGGTGAGATATGGGGAAGGGCTCAGCTCTGCCTGGACTGTGGCGTACCCCTTGGCTAGCCCTCAGTGCTGCCTGGAGTGTGCCACATGGAACTCCCATTTCCCCTGGCAGCCCTAAGGGTCGCCAAGAGCTCGGGGCCCTTTTGAATCACTGGGCCCCAGGGCAACTGCTTCCTTTGACCCCATCCATCTCCATTGGTAGACATGCTGCCGACATAGTGCAGTGTGGACACTGTGTGAAACCAATGTAACTTACATCGCTCAGGGGGGTAGTGTACACTAGGCCTAAGAACTAAGTGGTAGACTCAGAAGCAGAAAGAATGATGAGATGAGTGAGGAATATGTGGGAACCTGGAGGGTAAAGAGGTGAAAAGTAGGAATCTTCCATTCCGCAAGGGGCCCAGGGCCTCTCTGTTGAGGCATAAGCATTTGAAATTCCTCTCCAGAGCTGCTGCCTTGGCTCCTGTGTGGAGCCCACCTTTGATATGCCCAATGTCAGGCTTACATTTGGTTCACATCTTGAAGTTATCTGCACACATTTAACAGCTAGAGACATTTTAAAAATAAGTAAATAAATAGAAGCTTAGTGTTTTAAACACAAGAAGAAAGCTTCTAGGAAAAAAACTGAGTCACAGCAATATCTGAGTCTGCGCATTTTGACTCTTGATGTCATTCCACCTCTTCCAATGTTTTACTTACACACACACACACACACACACACACACACACTCTTCTACAATCAGTTCCTTTCTCACAACTAAGATTTTTCCCCCCACCTCTGTTGACGTAGAGTTCATCAACAGGTCAGTGCTATGAAGAAAGTAACAACCAGTATGGAACGTGTAACCCTGTCTACTGTTTAAGCTTTAGGAACTTTAACCTTTGTTTGGAAAGCGTGACTAATATGAGGAAGCAAATAGTCTCTCAAGAGACATAAACCATGTGACAGTTTCAAAATACAAAAATGTTTTTCCTCCCTCTTTTTTTTAGAAGCAATTTTATTTCCTGCTCATATAGCTATGCATACATCAATATCTACAGGTAGAAGACAAAGGAACAAACAAGTTCTGTACAGTAATATGATTATTTGGGAACTTTTTCTTCTGTTTAATGCAACTCCTGAATATGTCACTTTTTAAAAAAGTGACAACAATTTTTATAAATCACTACCTTGCCATATGGATTAGCACATTAGTACAAATATTTGTAGTAAATATAACTAAAAAGTTCATAAGTTCATTTTCTTTTTCAACTTTTGCTATGTAAGTAAAACCCTCTGCAATGATAAAATATTGTGTAAATGAGTTAGCTGCTTTATGTGAAACTGAAATGAAAATTTGGACCTAACTATCTGACTATCATATGAACTCCATTCATAATCAAAATTTAAAAAAATAATTTCTATTTAAAACGAATCTTTATCACTTTCATTTTAGTAATTAGAAACACAGGTAGAGTTCCTTTCAATGTGTTTGGCAAGTTTCTGGCTTCAAAAATAAAAAATATCTGTGATATGATTTCCATATTCCTCTTATTCTTAATCTCAAATTCACCCGGTTCAATTATTATATTACAAGTGGTGCTGCCCCTAACAGGTGGTGTATTTTCCTAGGCCAAGGCCTGAGATTCACTCCAGCCTCTGGGCAATGCTGTGCTTCCTATCAGATAATAGCACACTCTTTGGGAGGAGTATTGCCATGTGATCGCTCTCATGCACTGGTTCTACAGACTGGCAGTTTGGCACAGCCAGTAAAATGACTCTTACTATTTATATGAATTACAACAGTACATAAAAGCACTATTAAAGATCTGGACCTTCTTATGCTAGGTGATGTACCTACAGATAGTAAGACCACCCTCAAGATATTATAATCTAAGTAGACAAGACAAGGGAAGTATTGCTATCCCTATATTTCACAGATGGGGAACTGAGGCAGAGACTGATCAAGAGGTTTGCCCAGGGCTACACAAGAACGGAATCAATCTCCTGAGACTCAGGCCAGTACTTTAAACCACAATACTATTCCTCTCTAACAGCAGCAGGTAGAAGCTGGACTATTTTTTGCTTCAAATTACAGCTGCATTTAACTTCCTTTCCAGAACTGTGTAAATATTCCTTTTAGAAGTTGCAGTGACTATTTCAGATTTAGATTGGTGCTCTAAAATATCTTTGACAGGGGCAGTTATGTATGTTATGGGTATTATTTAGGGTTAAATCAGAATACCTGGTGTGTATGGACTTTCTGTTCACAAATCTGGACAAAATCACAGTTTGGATAGTGATAGTTTGCTTTTCTAGCCCTGTGGTAGGTGAGAACTGGGAAATAAAGCAACTGAAAAGCACATCTAAAATTAAATTGTTAACATTTTAAGGAAAGTTTTATTTCAGCTTTGAGGTATCTAGAGCACTTTTGGGTCCTCTGAAAGATAGTTGATAAATATACAACAAAATAACAATTGCCCATAAAAGTTGGGCCTGCAAGGGAGCGCATCTCTCAGCGAAAGGATAGGCTTTCCAAAGCCCATTCACCTGTAGTGAACTGCAGACTAGTTTCAGATAGTACAATGGGGATACTCTGTCACAGGCACTGGCTTCCTCCTTGCCCAAGGGTGCTCAATTTCCACTCTGTTCCAGGTCCTGCCTCACTCCATCGCTTTCTGCACGTTCCCACACCTCTGTTGCCTCTTTCCACCCCTGTTCCACTGCACGCCTTGTGCCGGCTCAACCCCCTTGTCTTTATTTACATTATGTTCTGTAATAATGTGGGCACTTTCTAAATAAATTTGTGTCTGTCTTAGGTGGTTCCAGTCCTCACTACATTGGCAATACTTCTCCAGAAAACAATGTGGATTTTTCCTGGACCAAAAATATTACAACACATTAGTGCAAAAGAGTAAACCAGTAGATAAGATAATTAAATGGGTTACTGTACCTGACATATTCTTATAGATTGGTCCAACACTGTCTTGGTATCAGTAGCATAATCTGGGCAAGGCAGCATGGCACGACTAAAATAGGCTTGCAGCAGAAGATGCGTTTTTGTGTGTGAACTGTCAAATGAATGAGGGTTGACTTCAATGGGGAGATGTTTTGCCAGGTCACTGTTCATCTGATCTTCATTGTGTCTCACTGGAAGATCTGCATACTCTTCAGCATCCTTAACAAAAAATTAAAAGGAGGGAAAACAAGCTTTTAGTGCATAAAAGCAAGAAAGCAATTGTGATTAAGCAGGATTTTTTGCAGAGTCCTTTTTAGGACATTTACAATAAACTAGATGGAAATCAGAGAACACTGCTGAGATTTTGCTAAAAGCAACCATTTTAGTCAGTGATGTTTAAACATTACTTTGCTTACTCAGTTATCCAAACCACAGATGCTTCTAAGAAAAACAGTAATTTGTTAAAATACTCAAAAACCATTAAAGCGTTTGAAATACTCTTGCTATATCTCATTTGTATGTTAGAACACAATAGTGAAGATTTGATAGTAAGTACTGAAACTGAGTATTTGAGGTAGACCCATTAGAGGTCTATCACCTGAAATGGCCCATAAAGTGATATAATGAATTGAATCTTAGACTTTGAGCAAGCAGTCAATAATTTACACAATTTCTGTTTTTAGCTAATACCTATTTTTTTTCTCCTTTTCTTTACACATTCAAGACACATAGTAGGGTTGAAATAAAATACATCTATTTTGCTTATTTTAAATATTATAAACGTATACTATCCAAGCAACAGAGTATTACACTCTGAAAGTATATTAAAACTAATTATTGAGGGCTAAATACTAGCCTCCTTCTCTGCCTTGCAGAGGGGCACACACGTTAGCTATTCTTTGCAACTGATGCCTGTGCAGCCGAGGGCTTTTTAGAATTTGCACAGAAGACCTGAGTAACAACAGGAGTTCCCTGTGTGTTCACATGCAAGGTTTTGGGGATGACACAGGGACAGGCTGGGCCAGCAACTAGGGCAAAACTCGTGAATCTTGTACTGCACTAATAAACAACCCTCTGTGGACTGGGAATTCAATAGTAGGAGGAATATTGCAGCCTCCATACTGCAGTTCTGGCCACTGAGTGGCTCTACTTTAGTTCTCTAACCCTGAATTGAGAGGAATTCCTTTTCCTCACTTTTCTCATGCACTAAGTGTCTACTACACCTTAGCTTAGTGTGAGAAGGATTTCATAATTTCCTAAAAGTATGATTTCATTTGCAAAATTTCAACACATGATGTCTTTTGGACCTATAATTAAAGTAAACAAATTGCTTTTACCAATTTGTCAATGAACATTTTGATAGTCTGAAAGACAAGGCTGCTATAAAAGGAGAACTCCTTCATTACTGTGGATTGAGCAAAGAGACTGTTAAAAGATAAAATATTCAGGGTTTTGTATCTATCTTGCACTACAGTTTGATACTATGGGTTTTGGTCTGTAGTATCCAGTCAGACTTCCTGCATATCCGTATTAATTAAATGTTCACAACAGTAAATAATTCAGAGTGATATACAGAAAACAATGCTCTTTTTAGCACATCTTGAGGAACTATCATAATTCATAGTATCTCAATATCTGATTTATGTCCCAATTTATAGTACAACGTTGGCACTTCTTTGATATAAGTTCTTCTGTTAGTTTAATTATAAACACCACAAACATTATTTTCCAGTTACATTGCCCTTGCATATTGTAACATAAATGTGAAGGAATGACTCAGTCTAGAAAGTTTAGGAACAAATAGAAATAAAAACTGTCTCAATTTATTTCATACTTTGAGAGCAGATTAAAAATGAAGACTGGCTAAAGACAACTGCTGCTTAATCCTTGATGTCTCTGCCAGATCTCTTGTGAAAACGGCGGTCATTTATTCACCTAAGTCACAATCTTTTTAAGCCCTATAGAATGTTGCATGCTTGCTCTGCTCTTTTATTTAGCTCACATCCCCTTCAAAGATATTTTAAAGAATATTTACCAAGGAGATTTTTTACTTTGTTTTGCCTTGCTGTTTCAAGCAGCAGCAGGAGACAGGAGCAGGAGCAGCTGAGCGACTTCATATCTACTAGTATTCCTGAAAATACACTTTCACTAGTTTTACCCAGTAGAATGTGTTTTATTTACTTCCAAAACAGTCCTCTTATTTCAAACAACTTGCCTACTTTATTTCCTGTATGCAACTGCTGACTGTAAGCAAGTGAGGTTCATTTTCTTATCTGCATCATGTAAGTAATTAAAGGAAATTGAGAATGGGTAGCGAAGCTTTTATGCAACTGGGAATGAAGCTGAATGGAGGGCACTAAGGTCAGCAGAGTCCATTATATTTTTATGTGAGAGGCCGGTATGTCTGCCCTGTCCTTGTTTGTTTAGTGTAGGCTGGACAGACTACTAACTGCAAATCTGTTTCTCTGATTTGCCCAGCTGTCCTTGAATAAAGACATCTTCCCTTGCAAATGTTAAATGACAGTGATTGACAATCCTATGATGAACTGTGCTTGTAACCCTCTCTGATACTGTTTTCAGTTAGCACAAGAAAAGAGAGAATAAAGAAACATCCTTCATAATCATCTCAAATGGGTCCTGCTGTTCACTCGGTATTCTCCATTTTCATTTCCCTTTTCATTAAAAACCTCAATCTGTTCTGCAAATGCTATAGACTCAACTATGTCAAATAATGTATAAAATATATATTTTATTGCATTTCATTTGAATGTTACATAATTAATCAGACCTGGAATTAGGTTGAATAACAATTTAATGTTATGACACTTCTTAGGACAAATTTTGCAGTTAGACCAAAAAGCATTGCTACACATTTTCTTCCTTTCCTTGTTTGTCCCTGATGTTGTGTTAAATCAGTACAATTGTAGCTGACAGCCCACATGCTATATAATCTTTATCTACATGAACATCTATTAAAAGCATAAAATGCTTGGATGATAATCAGCATTTGACTATTATGCATTCATAGCCCCGTCACTCTTCTCTGCTGGAACATTATTGGATTCACCCACCATATCTTCTTCTAGCCCGAGACGACTGTGGAAAAGAATTTCAAGCAGCTAAACTGCTTCCCTCTTCTGCTTTGCTCTTACTGTTCACAAGGAATCAACCAAGAGGTTAAGGTGGCCAGAGGAGATACGGGGAGACAAGAAGGTGGCAGGACCAGATGGATTCAAGAAAGTGTGGTTGGAGCTGAAGGGACAGCATGGATCAGGGCTTGAAAATACAATACAGAAGGGATGGAACAATTAAAAAAGGCAGAGAAGACCTTTTACCCAGAATGGCCCGGGATCTCCTAACTGCTCCTTGAACCCATAAGCCCCAGGCTCACATCAGAAACACACCTGGCATCACCACCAGCTTCAGGCTATTTCCACACTTCCTCTCTAAACCCCTCCCCTAAATTGCTTCTGTGATTGAGCCTGGTTCTCTCAAGTCCACATTTGCTTCTGAGGGATTACAAATAGCAACTTGTTCTCACCACTGAGAAATGTCACATCTGAAACTGCACATTGCACAGCTATGTTATGCTCAACGACCGCGATAATCTAATCAAATCACTCCTTAACTTTCTCTCTGGTTAAAGATCGATCTCTGTGAATTCCCCACTATAAGGCATATTTTCCAATTCTTTAATCTTTCTTGTGGCTCTTCTCTGAATCCTCTCCACAGCTCAGAAATAATATTGAAAAACTCAACATCCAAAATGAATACTAGTATTCCATTAATGGTCTAGGTAGTGCCAAATACAGAGGTAAACAGAACCTTGTTACTCAAGATTCCCTTGGTTATATACTCAAAGATCCCATTAGTCTTTTTGGCCACAATATTAAACTGGGAGTTCACGACCAGCTGATTATCAACCAAGATCCCCCAGTCTTTTTCACAGTCACTGCTCCCCACTATCAAGTGATTAATCCAGTAAGTATTGCCTTCATTTTGTTCCCTACCTGTATGACCTTACATTTGGCTGTACTGAAAAGCACATTGCTCGCTATTGCCCAGTTTACAAAGTGATCTGTATTACTCTGTACTAGTGATATGTTCTTTTCATTAGTCATCGCTTCTCCAATCTTTGTGGCTTCTGCACACTTGATTGGCAATGATTTTATCTTTTATTTCAGGTCATTGAGACACTTTGTTAAATAGCATATCACAGCACAGGGGACCTCATTTGAAACATATCCATTTAATGATGATTCCCCATTTTCAACTATGTTTTGAGACCTCTTAGACAGTTTTTAATACATCGATATGTGTTATGTTGATTTTGTTTCAAACTAGATTCTTAATCAAAATTTTATGAGCTACTAAGTGAATGGCTTACAAAAATTCTAAATGTATTGTGTCAACACAATTACCTTCATCAACTAAACTTGTAATCTGATAAAAAAGATATTAAGTTATTTTGATCAACACTATTTTCCATAAACCCATTTTCATTGGCTTTAATTACATCACCCTCCTTTAATTCTTTATTAACTGAGTTCCCTATCAGCCATACAATTATTTTGCCAAAAATCAATATCAGGCTGCCAAACCTATAATTACATGAGCAATGCTGCTTACATTTAAAATATTAGAAAATATTAGAAAAACATTAGCTTTCTTCCAGTTCTCTAAAACTTCGCCAGAGTTCCAAGATGTCTTGAAAATCAACATTAAGGGGCCAGAGAGCTTCGCAGTTCATCTTTACATAGCTGTACAATTATTCAAGGCCTGACCAAAAGCCCATTTAAATCAAAGTCTCAGGATGTACCCAACTCAGGGTCTGATCCTGCAAGCATTTGCTACCAGATTAGACCAGATCCTACAAAAATACTATAGTATCTATATGCTTTTGAGCAGCCATAAGGAGTTTTATGGCAGATACTCTGATAATAAGTATCAGACTTAGTATTTATTATTTCACATTCTTCAGCTCACTAGAAACACTAATATATTTTTCCTAAATCATTGATTATAAAATAAATGATGAAATGTGGATTTGTACTGCTAGTACATCTTCTGTGAAATTAAATATTTTTATTTTTAAGCAGCTGCACAAGCTGCCTTCTACATTTAAATAAGAGATGAAAGGAACCTTATACAATATACACAATTGTAGGAACAATATGAGGAATTAAAAGAAGCTTTATGTTTTTATTTAAGTTCAGTCA